TTCATTTGCAGATAGATAGGAACACTGCTTCCACAGCATAATGCAAAAGGATTTGAGTCCCCTCAGACAGCATAACTGGACAGCTTCTTAGATCCCTGTAGCAACCTTGTATCTTTATAGAACAAGGCAGAGTATAAATTATCCAACAAAAAGAAGAAAGGCAGCTTCTGGTGCAAAGGCAGATCATTTCAAGGCAAAGATCCAAGCACAAGGCCTTTTGTTACAGGGTTCTGAGAATGGTTTGATTGAAAAAGCATAGATTTACAGTCAAGAGAGACCTGAGTTCCAATCCCACCTGTCACTCTACATAAGTGATATGTTCTTGGGTAAGTTGCTTAATTTCTTTGAACTGCATTTTCCTTAGCTGTAAAATGAGAGTAATATTACAGGTCTTGTAGGCTCAATGTGAGAACTCAATGCAATGAGGGACGTAAAGCACTCGACATGGCAGGAAGCACTGGGAAAAGACTCGCTCCCTCACCATCTGGCCAGGCCCTCTGGACACCACCGATATATTTCTACTCTAATATGTCAGAGATTGACTGACACCTCTAAAACCCGCCATTCTTCTTAAGTTCCGCATCACTCTTCCATAAGCTATTTTCATTTTCCTAACCATATTCCACTGCTTTTAATGGAGGCAGCACAGGGACCTACAAGAAGGCCATGGGGAAAACGGGGTATATTGTAGTGGAAAGAGCCAAGAATCCTCTGTTCTAACTCAGTTTTCTACTAGTCTAGCAGCCTAAGGTTTGGCAAGCCATGTTCTCTCTGGGCTTTGGCCTTCTCACCCATAAACAAAATAACAGATAAGGCAATATTTAAGGTCCTTTTCAGCCCTAAGAGTTCAAGCTCTGAAAGATAACAAAATAGCAGCAACAACACCTTATCATGTGCCAGCAATCCTGCAAGGCACCATTTACTTAAATACAATTTTTATGGAATGGCAGTACTAGCATTACTGCATCACTTTCTTTTTATTATTTTAAACTGCAAAGAGGATAGATGGTTTGATTATATTTCTTTTTATGGTTATTCTCCATTTCCAAGAAGAATTTCAAGTGACTTAAAGTAAAAATACATAAAGACTGAGCTTTAATACAGAATAAAGGCTACATTAAATAATAAACATAGGAAGAGTATATAAAAAGATTTTTAAAAAATTATAGGTCCTATGTAACTGCGGAACAGCTCAAAACGGTCCCATCCTGTTTAATGAGATACTGAGCTGCTTTTCAAAGACAAGAGACCAAGACCACAAGCTGCACAGCTGAAGCATATGCAGAGGAGAGAACTTTGATCTCCGGCTGCACCTGGACCAAAGGACTGGGACATAACCAGAACCTGAACACTGGTACCTTTTCAGAAGCAGAGGGCCCACTGTCCAGGAAGATCCTTCAATGACACCCCTTACCATAAATAGCCAAGCTCCAATATCCTCCAATTAAAACTTGTCCGGCCAGCACTTCTGCACACCTGTTTCCCCTATACCTTAAAACCCGACCTGAATCCTGGATCGAGGAGTCCAGGCTTTTGAACATTAGCTTCCCATTCTCCTGAGTGGTGCCATTCATAAAATAGCCAATGTTTCTCCAATGCAGTGCTTGGTGTTTGGCTCTACTAAGCACCTGGTGGATGAACTCCTTCTGTTCTACAACACATGTTGACTAAAACCATGATGACTGAATTGAAAACTCTGTCCTAATCTTAAACTTTGTGACAGCCAAAATAAAGAGGAAAACACAACTGGACATGTAGCTCGTAGAAAAGGCACTAGCTCAACAGAGTTTTTCCAGGCTGAGCTTTTAGAAAAATACGCAACCAGGTTTTTTGTTTGATTCTAGAGGGGAATTAGGAGTAAAAAGAAATAAAATTTAAAAGCAAACAAACACACCAGTTGTTTAGATATGTAAAATAAAATTTAACTTTACAATTGTATATCAAGTTAATTTTTTAAATTAACATATATTTTGTGATTGACTTAGAAATGACCTAGAGTTAACTATTACTCTATCTGCCTCTTTCGAAGAAGTTTCATTTTCGAAGGGCTATAGAGCTTCACTGATAGTGCTGCAAAGCCCTCTTAAAGGATTTGAATTTCTCAAAAGAAAATAGACCGAGCTGCTGGCAAGACTCACAGCCAGAATCTGTTGATGGATTCCTTCCAAAATAACCATCCCATCAGGCCTGCTCGCTCTTACCTCCTTCATGCTTTTGGGCTTAAGAAAGAAAAGTTTATAAAGTAGGTAAGTAAAACAAATGCAGACTTATTTGATTTAAATACAGTTGTAAAAAGTTTAAAAGCTTTTACATATAAATCTTTTTTAGGAAAAGAACTTGCTTGCAGAGAAAAACTTGTCTTTCTTTGCTGCTTGAAAGAAAAAAATGCATTTGAAATAAACAAAAACTAGTAACAACCCAAATTCTTTTTTTTTTTATTGTGGTAAAATATATAACATAAAAGTTACCATTTTAACCATTTTAAGTTTACCGTCACATTGTTGTCCAACTACCACCAAGTTAATTCTTTTTCAATATATCCATATGCTACATCTCACTGTCAGCACTAACAACTCCATATTGTTTTCCTAAGTTACATTTGCAACTGGAACTCAGTATTTCTTTACCTAAGGGAAAAAGTATGTTGACTAATAAATGCAATTCACAGTATTACCATAATAGACCTTCTAACCTAAGGTTTCCATGACATCAACAATTTCCTACCAACCAAGTCCAATTGTTTTAACAACTATACTAATAACTGAACTCAGCCCACCACCTTGGATATTTTTAAAAAATGAATACTGAAATCCAGAAATGTGTAATACTGATCACAAACATTTTTTAACAGTATACTGTTAAGTGAACATTTTCCTATAAATTAGTCCCACTGTGGCTCAATGACACAGGATAATGACAAGGATGGGCAAAAGAGCAGGAAAAGATGATATATTACAGACATTCCAGAGCCACACACAATCCAAAGCATACCCCACCATATAGGCTTTATGTTCTGCTCTTTAGAGAAGAATTTTCTAAGTTCNATCCAAAGCACACCCCACCATATAGGCTTTATGTTCTGCTCTTTAGAGAAGAATTTTCTAAGTTCCTTGATAGGCATTTCTAGGTATGTATTAACCTGCAACTAGCTCTAAAAGAATGAATTACAAGGGTAGAGACTGGAATTGGTGATAAGTAATTCATCTAATAACCACTCCAACTAACTGTGGTAATTTGGCCTTGGCATCATATTTGGATTTTAATAAAAAAAAGTTTCCAAACCATTCTAAATTATGAGATATTAATTAATCATAGATTGCCTAAAGCAACATTTATTTGTTTCAGGAAGTATTTATTGTGATTTGATTGGGAGAATTATATGACTTTTATCTCTTTTCAGTAGATCCCTCTTATAATCATTAAGATACATGCTTGCTATAAATGGGGGGGGTGTCCATATACACAATCAGCAGCTTGACAATTCTTAGTCAAGCAATCTTTTTTAACTTTAGAGAGTATCTATAGTCAACTCATATAGACAAAGCAAGAGTTTCGTTTTCTTGGGTCCTGATTACATCAATCAAGCCTAAGTGGCTACAACATAGTGTCCATTCAACAAATAAATGAGTGAATAAATATTCTAGGAAAGGGCCTTCCTGGAAGAGTTACTATTACCTAGAGAAGGGAAGGCATTTAAGGGAAGGGGAAGGTAGTGAATTTTACTCTCAGAAATAACAGGAAATCAGACTGCTCTAAGGATTCAGATACAAAAACTACATCAGGGATCACAATAGTATATACTTCATAACATTCTTAAGCTTGGTAGCTTTTTTGGGTCATATTTATTAGTAACCAGCAATAAAAAGCCTTCAAATAAAAAGGGTCAAGGTATATATCCATAGGGGCAGCAAGAGAGATCTACTTCACAGTGTTGCTGGTAGGTAAGAGAGGAGCCTTAGAAATAAGGGTAAGCAACGCCAGCTTTAAACAACAAAAAAGAGATAACAAAATAGGGTGAAATGATGATCTTTTCATCTTTATATTAAAACAGCATGACATGTAGTAGCTGCTCACAAAATGTCTGTTGAATGAATGATTCCTTCCTACGTTCTTCCTCCATTTGTTCTTCCCTTCTTTTCCTTCTTCTATCCTTCCTTCCTTCCTTCCTTCCTTCCTTCCTTCCTTCCTTCCTTCCTTCCTTCCTTCCACCCACCCATTTATCCATCCATCCATCCATCCACCCACCCATTCATCCAACTAATCCTTCATTATTTCCCAATCACCCAACATCCAATTCAATTACCCCCCGCTTCTCCTCCCAAGGTCCTGCAAAGTCTAAAGCAGGGGTGGGGAATGTTCAGCCCAAGGGCCGCACAAAATCATTTGGTCTGGCCCTGCCAATGCAACTGCAAGCAGGACTCAAAATTCAATAAATCTAGGAGCTTTTTCATAGCTAATTTTTAAGTTGATAATTTTGTATGGCACTTGAATGATGTTATGAATATCCAAGTGGCACTTGCCAGAAAAAAGGTTCCCCACCCCTGGTCTAAAGATCAAGAGGTTCCTTGGCAAGGGTCTTAAAAACTTTTCCGTTTGCCCTCTTGAAACCTATCAAGATATATTTTAGTTCTAGGCACTGAAAACAAAATCAACTCTGGTCTTGCTACTAAAAGAAAAAAAGTCCACAGACAGAATCCGTGGATATTGTCAGCTGAGGAAGGCCTTATTGTTTCCTCCCAGGATGGAAAGTTCACACTTTGCAGCAGAGCAATTAGCACAATCTTACCCTGAGGATACCAGAAATGGGTAAAATTCACTTTTCTTTAAAAATTCAGGTCAGCCCCTTGTCCCTCAACCATATTTGAAAACCAGTTTCCACCTCTTTCCCCACTCCCACCTCCCCTAAAATGGCTACAAAAAATAGGTTTGCTCCTCCAGTCCCTTTTGTCTCATACCCCAAAACGAAAGAACCCTGACTGAATTAAATATCAGTCTCTTACCCTGCCAGGAAAGCTAAGGAGTAGGAGTTGTTCTTAGAAACAAATGCAGAGCGATGTGTCTGTGTCATCTTGCCTCGGGAAGGTTCTTCATTCTCTGAATCTGAGAGACGTGCAGGACACTGGTAGGAGAGAAGGGAGACAACACTGTCCATTGGGGGTTCCCATTGAGTGTCCCATAGCTATTGTTGCAAATCTCTCTATTATATTTCACTTCTATCTGAGCTCCAATCTATGTTTATGTTTCCAACAGCCTCCTGAAGATCCCAATCTTGATATCCCAAATGTAGCTCAAACTTTACACAAAATCAAACTCACTATATATCTTCTCTAAGCCCCACTTCCAACCCAACTGGAAGCCTCAATGTCATCTATGACTCTTTTCTTTCCCTTTCTTCGAAGTCATAATAACACTGTATAGAGGTTTTGAGTTAAATATTTTATTTCATTTACTGTTTATATCAGCTCTATTAAGAAGGGATTAATTAGTTGTCTTTTACAGATGGAAAACTGAGGCTCAGAGTTAATTTGCCTAGTATTGTAGAGTTAATAAGTAGCCGGCACTGGTACTTAAATCCAGAACATCTGTCTCCAAACTACCTCCATGCTAGTTCCACTCTACTCCATTTTACCACTGAAATGTCCCTCAGATCTAAGTCTTCCCATGTACAACCAATTGTCATTGTCTCTCCTTAGATTCTCATCATCCTCTGCCTGGACTGTTGCAATAATCTACTTACTGGCCTCACTCTCTTCAGCCTTTCTTCCCTTCAGTCCCCTCCAAGTACACAGAGAGAATCCTGCTTAATTACTAGTAACTTCAGGATAAAGTCTAAACACTTCAAAACTAGACTCAACTTTCTTTCAGAGTTTTTCTCATACTAGTTCCCACACAGGAACTCCTTGAGTTCTAGTACAACCAAACTACCTTATATTCTCCACGGGTACAGTATAGTCTTCCAAAACCTCTGTTCTTTGGACATGCTATTCCCTTTGCCTAATATTTCCCTTCCACATTCTCTGCTGATAAAACACTCACTGGCCTTTCAGAGGCATCTTAAATGTCACTTTCTCTGAAAGAGATTCCATGTATCCCTGGAGTCAGCCTTTTTCATCTTGCTGGCACTCATTCATTTACCTTCTTTCATTTTGGAGTCTCTTTTTAAGTCTTTCCATTTACATTTGAGGTTTATTTTATATATACCTTTTGTATACAACATATAGTGAGTATCTGCCTCATGATTCAATATGACAGTCTTCTTTTTAGAGGGAGCAGCTAATCACATTGAACTACAGCTTCTTATTTAAGAGTCTGTCTTCTGCTTTAGACAATAAACTCTGTGAGAGCAAGTGGCCATCTTTTCTTTAAGATTCCCAATACCATTATAGAGCAGGTAAACAAAAAATGTCTAATCATCTAATGATTAACCATTATCTAATGACCAAACAACTACCAAAATAAGAGTTCTAGACGGAGGCATCATCTTATGGCACAGAGTACCCTGCACTTCCGAAATGCTTTGTTACTCTTTAGGCTGACAAGCACATACTACAATAGGCTATGTTTCCCAATAGTTAGCCTTTGAAAAATAGTTGAAAGATTACAATTTACAGGGAAACTTTTCAATTTTGTAGAGTACCGCCCCTTAAAGAAACCTGCTGTACAAACTGTTCACTGGAGAAATTTTTTAACAGTACTAACCTATTATCAAATTTTATATAATATTCTCTTTTCAACTCTGAGAACAAGAAAAAGCTTTGACATCTATAGACGCAACAGAGAATAAATAATGACAATTTCTATTGAGATGTTTCCACATAATCAATTCAGTACCAAATAAAAGAATGTCCAAATCCCAGCTCTATTACTTAAAGATCATGGTCACTATAGGTTAGTTGTTCTATCTTTCTGAGCCTCAGTTTCCTCACCTATAAAATAAAGACTGTTCCATCTACCACAAAGATTGTGATAAGCCATTAAAAGCACTTAGTACATTAACAAGTAGTAAGGGGGCTCAACAGAAGATAGATTTTAATCAATTTAAGTACTATTAATCTTTTAAGAAAAAACTTTAGCATTATAATAGATATACACTAGGTTACTTTTAATTATTGAAAAATACATTTACATTATTATAAGAAATTACGTAGATAGAAGGTACCCCCCTACACACACATCTCTCTATATTTCCACCCCCACAAAACCTAGAACCATTAGATAGGAAAATATTTACCCTTCATTTTTCCCTTTAGGTAAAAATAAACTTATAGTACTATGAATTCATAAAATAGTATAAAACATGCATAACAAATCACCAATGTGATATATTTTTAAATGTATATAAACATTTAAAAGAATGATAATAGCCAGAGTTGGTGAGGGTGTGAGGAAATTAGTTTAGGGCTTTATTGAACTATTGGTGGAAGGATAAGTATATACAAACTTTCTGGAGGTCAAATAAATAATAAGTACCAAAAGTCTTAAAAAGCACACTCTCCTTGACCTGGTCATTCCACTTCCGACAATTTATTAGAAGGAACTAATCACAGTGGTGGTTTAAGATAGTGAAATATCAACAGGGGATAAATTAAATTAAATTAATTCTACAGTAAAGAATACTAAGAGACCACTAAACAATGATGTGGGATTCTTTATTTACATGGGAAGACATCCACAATTTAATAGTTTATAAAAAAGGTTTAAAACAGTATGTACACTGGGTTGTATTTTCTAAAAAGAAAAAAACATACATAGTGTATATCCACTCAGAAAAGAAGTCTGGCAAGACATTTACTAAAATGTTTATAGGGATTATCTCTAAGTTGTGGGATGACAAGAAATTTTTCACTTTCTGCTTTATATATAAATCTTTGGTATGACTATAATTGTTATACCAAATTGTTTTCCAACAACTCACATTATCAGAGATGATAATCTCTGATTCTGGAATAAGCACTTTCCTTCCTCCATCTGAATTCAATTTGATAAACTTGTATCAAACACTTGTGATATGCAAGGCACTGTAGGAAATTTTAAATTAGGTAAGATTTCCTATACACAAGAAACTTACAAATTTAGTAGAGAAACACAAACACACAAATAACCCATAAGATAAGGGAGAATGAAGTCAGTCCTGTAAAAGTTACAAAGTAGGGGAGGGGTGTTTGGAGGGGAGAGTGGATGATGGGAGTGGAGAGAAACAAGTGAGGAATCTCTATAGGTTCCAGGAACGTGACAGCTTTCAAACTGAACATGGAACAATAAATAGCCTTTCAACAGGTAAGTTGGGTGACATTTCAATGGGATGAAGTTGTAAGAACAAAGGCTCTAAGGAGGGAAAATACAGAGTATATCTTTGAGGGAAAGCAAACAGCTTCAATTCCTAAAGTTTGGGGTGTAAGCAAGGGTGGAAATATAAGCTAAAATAATACTAAGAACCTGAATGTTGGGGTGAAGAGTTCTCACTTAATTCTACAGGAAACAAGGAGTCCCTGAGGTTTGGGGGGCAGGAGAGTAAAATAATCAGTCCAGCTCTAACACTCTCTATATAAAACATAATCCTTCATTTGGCTTCCCACTAAAGTCTACTTGAACTTCTGTTTGGTTCCAATTTGAATGTAGCCCTGGCTAAATGAAATTATTTGTTCAACACCAAAAATTCATAATACTTATTTAAAGCAAAATTAGAGCCATTTAAAAGTCCTCAAAAATATAAAAGCAAACAGAAAAAGGGTAAAAATTACAACACTTTAAAACTTGAAGTGTTCATAGTAATTGGTAAATATACCACTTACAACATTTTCCAGCAATTTGGTTGGTAAATAAGTAATAAAAAAATTCAGGCAAGATTTAGCTCAGATTTTATTCAATTTGTTTTTGCACAGAAAATGTCAGAACTGGCTATTACCAATAAAAAATGAGTCTGAGGATTTGTACTTCCTGATTCCTTTTAGGATTAATATTAGGTCAATGCAATTGATTTCTATTTCAAAGACGGTAGTGGCAAAAGAAAAAAATCATTAGAGAAATTTCCTAGTCTTGACATGAATTAATACTAGAGATTATTTCCTGGAGAAAACCTGGATCTGGCAAGGTTAAAAACAGCAGGTTCTTTTTATCAAAAGACCATAGCAAGGGTAAGTGTACTTCTCTGGGTTGTTCTGCCTGATGGCCCTAACAAACAGTTCTGCTGGAGTGACGTCACCAAAAGAACTGCAATCTTTAGACCACAGACCATAGTTGGGGCTGTTAGTCAGAAGGCATACTACATGCACAAGATTATCATATATTTCATTCTTTCCTTCCTAGCCAAATATCCTCTCTGGTAGCAGTCTCTTTCCTTTTATAGTTCCCAATGAACAGAGCATTAAGAGTACACAAGCATTTTATGTTTGTTAAACTGAAGCTTTTAGAAGGTTGAAACCCTATAAAATGCAAGTGGTTGTTTTTAATAATATTTAAATAATAAAAATTATTATTATAACTGGATTCAAAAAGGCCCATATGCTTGTTGACCATCAGCAAATACTATCAATCCAAGAAAGCTTAAATAATCTAATTTTTTGAAATTCAGGAAAAATTCCTTTGCAAAGAGTACATCAAAAGCACAGAGAAATTAAGTAACCTGGCCAAAGTTAGTTGAACAGTCTGTTTTAATGCTGGGACCTGTTTAAGAGGCAGACTTCTAAGGCAGAGATTTTCCCCCCCTCTATTCTGCTATATTGTCTGTCTTTATATATGGTTGAGCTTTATTAATTAGAAAGATAACTGAAATACTAACAAGCCTGAATCACAAAACATTTTATAAGAGAAGACTCTATAGATATGTTAAGTACATACAGCAAGCAATAAAAAAATGTCCAATCCAATAACACTTACTAAAGAAAAAACTCAATTGAAATTACCCATTTGAGCTGATCAGTGCACCCTACAAAAGTGCTTTCAGATATAAGTTAAATATACCACTTCCAACCTTTTCCAGTAATTTGCTTGGTAAATAAGTAATAAAAAAATTCAGGCAAGCCTGGCCGGACGTGGCTCAGTGGTTGGGCATCGACCTAGGATCCAGGCGATCGGGGTTCAATTCCCAGTCAGGGCACCTGCCCGGGTTGCGGGCTGCAGCCGATCAATGACTCTCTCATCAGTGATGTTTCCAGCTCTCTCTCTCCCTCTCCTTTCCTCTCTCTGAAATCAATAAAGATATATTTAAAAAAAAAAAAAAAATTCAGGCAAGATTTAGCTCAATTAAGTCTAATTAGGTTAAGTTTAAACTAAGTAATCTAATATAATCTAATACCTTATATCTAGTACTGTGCTGCCTGGGCATTTTATTATTATTTTTTTCTTTTTTTAAAAATATATCTTTATTGACTTCAGAGAGAGGAAAGGAGAGGGAGACAGAGAGCTGGAAACATCAATGATGAGAGAGTCATTGATCGGCTGCAGCCCGCAACCCAGGCATGTGCCCTGACCGGGAATCGAACCCTGATTGCCCGGATCCCAGGCCGACGCTCAACCGCTGAGCCACGCCCGGCCGGGCTGCTTGGGCATTTTAAAGAATAAAGGGAAACTCAAACTTTAAGGAAATCTAGTAGAGGATGTAAGACATACAAAACTCAAATATCAAATAACACATAAGTCAAAAGGACAATATATGTATAAAATTTACCACAAGTAATATACTGTACTAGGTTTTTCCTCTCACCTTTTTTCCCTACTGTTCCCTTAATCCTTCCACACAATCACATTGTTCCATTCATAAATTACTTTCTCCAGCTCTCATCTGGACGCTAAGTTTCTCACTACTCGTAAGCTGCACAGTCAGTTGGAACTATTACTGGCCTCAGAGGTCACCAACATAGGTTTTTTAGATCCATGTCACCTAGGCTAATTGCTGATTTTGAGGCAGATGTCCACCAAAAAAATGATCTACTCACCCGCTCCAGATTTGTTTTCAGTACTAATGGCTCATCTCTCTTTTTCTGTTCCTCCATTTTCCTTTTCCCTGTTTCTGTATCCTCTGGTAACAGCTTTTGGATTTGATCTTCAGAGGTTTTCTCCTCTTGTAACTTTTCTTCTTTCAGCTAAAAATACAAATCACACCGACACAGTAGAGTTTGGGGCAACTACTGACTTGAAAATATCTTTTCCTCAGTAGTCTATTAGAACAAACATCACATGGCAGTTTTGAGACTATTTTCCTTATTGGATATAAAGCCCTCTTAATTCTTAATTAAATCAGCTTTTACTTGACTCTTGCCAAGCATACGCTTCATGGCTTAAGATTTAACTGTTCTGCATTCTTGAGCAATATGAAACCTTACAAGCTAATACACAACCAAAAAATAAAGTTTATTCACTTAGCTAAAAGAAGCGGAACTTAAAAACTTTCTTATTGCCATAAACCAGATATAAATGTGTTGGACCAGGAGAACAGCAGAGATGTAGGCCACAGAGGGCCAGAGAAGCTAGGTTAGGCAACACGGGTCTTTAGGCCTGAGAGCAACAAAAAAAATGACTTTATCACAGTTCCAGTGTCCTACAATGTATGCTATTAATCTTGCAGTCCAGAGATTAGGTCAAGACAGATGACTTAGAAAGAAATTTACGGCAGAGGCATATGGGGGAGGTAGCATGGTGTTATGAAAATAAGATGGGCTTTGGAATAAAAACCTAGGTTCTAGTGGTTCTGTCATTTATTTACTAGCTAGATGATCTTTGGCAAATAAACCATCATATGCTCACCTATGAAACAGAGATAATGCTACTTACTTTGCAGATATTGTTATAAGAAGTAAATGAGAATAGAGTATTTAATGTTGTATCATGATGTACTTACAGTAATCAAGAGTTTCCTTTCCTAATCTCCTTTTATTCTCTTTTCACTACCCAGGGTTTTAATAAAATTTAAATGACAATGTATATCAAAGCAATTACAGGCTACTAATATTTTTAATCATACTGGCAAAACAAATAAAGCTAAAGAACAAATAAATATTTTTCATTGGCTGTTGCCTCAGGGTTAAAAAAGCAATAATAACAATAAAGATTTAGTCTTATCTTTTTAATTCCTATAGGTCTGATTCCTACAAGCCTGAACTAGTCTTTAACACACAGTCTAATTAAAGAGGTTATGAATATTTAAGGAACACCATACACAATGTTATATTAGGAGGAGATTCAAATAAAATAATGTAGTCCCAACTCTTCCCAAGTCAAACAAGAACACAAGAGGAAGAAAAGCAAATCCATATCCAGGAAGCAAGCAAACCTAAGCGATGCTAAAGGCCCATGTGAAAGATCAATGCCTTTTGATGATCTTCCATGAGAAATTCTGTTCAACAACTTAACCACAGACTACACAGAGGGGCATTTCACTTTTAGAGGATACAGAGGCAGAGTGGCACCAAAGAGGACAGGTTTTAGCATTGTAATAATTGTCAATGACCGAACTCTAGGTGTCAGGTGCTGAGCTAAGCACTATACATACATGATCTCACTTAAGAAAACTAAGGTTTAAGAGGTAGGTAATGTGTTCAGATTCACAGAGTTGTTGCCCTAGAGCTGGAATTCAAATCTAGGTTTATCTCCGTGGTTCTCAACCAATGATTTTGCCTCTCAGGGCACAGCTGGCAATGTCTGGTGACACTTTGGTTACAACTTAGGGATGGAGTGTGTGTGCTACTGGCATCTAGTGGCTAGAGGACAAAAATTGTTACTAAACATCCTAAATGCACAGGAGAGCCCTCAATAATATATACAAACACAGATGTTACAATTTTTAAAAAACTAAATATTAAATTTCTTTTTACATATTTTTGTGTTAATTTGTTTAGTGCTTAATGGTATTTACATACTATGCCCTCTGGCTTTTCTACATGTTTTAGAATGTGTCCTTATGCCTCCTAATAATGTTTATCACTGCTCAAAGTTTTTGACAACAGACCTGTGTTGCTGGCAAAACCACCTTTTCATTGCAGTGCTGAGTCTCTGCTAACACAGCAACATCTCAACAAAGCTAAAAATTTATACAATTGAAAAACCCATATATCCATTTAAATCTTCACATGAATCATGTTGGTGTTTTCTCTACACTGGGTTCTGTAGAAGTTTTTTTGGTTTTGGTTTTGTTTTTTTGTCCTTTTGTGGTTATTTATAAGGACTTAAGAACTTAGTCTCTAGAAAAGAATTTTTATACTCAGGGAAAATGCCTGAGAATGTCAGAAAGCAGCCTATAAACTTGAGTAAGAAATATCAATAGCTGTTGTTTTCTATGTTCCAGGAATTAAAGTTTATAGAGCTTACCTCATTTCATCCTTAAGAGCTCTGTTTGTATCTATCATTATCATTTTATAGACACAAAAATTCACAAATAAACTCAGCGGTTATTTCCCAAAGTCACAGTGGTTGAACACTGAAGAACTTGAATTTTATAGTAAACCATTGGCTTCAGATACTAGGGTGTCTCAACCTCAGCATTACTGACATTCGGGCTAGATAATTCTTTGTTACGGGGTGGGGGTTACTGAGCAGAGTCTAATAAGAAGGCTTATGCGTGAACGCTGGCTCAGTCATAGGCTACAGAAGACAAAAGGAGAAACTCTATGAAATGCAGCTCAAGGCTGTCAGTCTGAAGTGAGAAAAAAGGAATCATATATCTATTGATTCCCATCTCCCACAACCAAAGTTTGCTCCACATGGTGTTAAATGCCCCTCACAATGGTTTGTACAACTTGAATAAGTTCCCCTAGTAGGTGCTGCAGCTGCAACAAGAGAGAAGCCCTAGAGTTAAAAGCGAGAGGCAAGCAGTTGGCCCCTGAACAAGGAGGTCTCAGCTTGTACCAAAGGGAAGCTGCCACTACTGAAAGTGGAGTGTTTTTTATTGCTTCCTTTTTTAGATGCTAATTACTAGAGAACTACTACTGACTTCTGTACATTAACCTCATACTGAGTCACGCTACCAGGAATATCATGAAAATTATCCTGAAAATGGCTTTACTTTGCCCTAATATTTAAAAATAAACTTTAAGCCCGGCCGGCGTCCACCTAGGATCCAGGCGATCGGGGTTGTGGGCTTGATCAATGACTCTCTCATCATTGATGTTTCTGTCTCTCTCTCTCTCCCTCTCCTTTCCTCTGTCTGAAATCAATAAAGATATATTTTTAAAAAATAATAATAAAAATAAACTTTAAAAAATCAAAACATTATACATAGAAAAGTATATATATCATAAATATAAGGCATGGTAAATTATATAAAATAAGCATATCCACATAACCACCACCCAGATCAGGAAATGGTATACTACCAGTACCCCTTGTGCCTACTCCTCACCCAAAAGTAACCACAATCCCAGCTTCCAACATCAAAAAAGTCATTGTACCTATTTCTGAATTTTACATAAGTGGAATCATATATGCATTAAATCTTTCTTTCTTCAGCTAACATGCTATTTGTGAGATTCATCCACGTAGGTGCATATAGTTTGTTCTTTCTCATTGTTATAGTGTTCTATTGTTTGCCTACAAAACAATTTAACCATTCTATTCCTGACGGATATTTGAGTAATTACAAGTTTGGGGCTACTTACACTTAAAACTGCTATGAACATTTTTGAACATGTATCCTGATACACATACTATTCTGTGGGGTATATTCTAGAAGAGATACCATTTAGTCATAAAGTATGGGTACACTGCCATGGTTTTCCAAACTGGTACAATTATACTCCCACCCCCCAATGTAGCAGAATGACAGTTGCTCTCAGCCTATTTGTCTATTTCAGACATTCCAGTAATTATATACTGGTATTGCAATATGACTTCAATTTGCATTTCTCTTCCAAAGATGTAGAGCAGCTTTTCATGTTTACTGTTTGGAAATCCTCTTTCATGCAGTGCCTAGTCACATTGCTGCCCTTTTTTCTTTTAGATATTTGGGTTTTTCCCTAGTAATTTGTAGGAGCTACTTATATTTTTTTGTATATAAGGCAATTTTCAAGAAAAAAAACATGCGGTTTCACTTTCTGCAGTCTCACTTACCTGCAGTCAACGGTGGTCTTGAATGGAAAATTCCAGAAATAAACATAAGTTTTAAATTGTGTGTGGTTCTGAGTAGCGTGATGAAATCTCACACCATCCTGCTCCATCCCATCCCAGTATGTGAACCATCCCTTCGTCCAGCAAATCCATGCTGTATTCGCTCCCCACCTGTTACTTATTAACCGTCTTGGTTATCAGATCGACTATCATAGTGTTGCAGTGTTTGTGTTCAAGTAACCCTCATTTTATTATTACAATTGCTCTATTTTATTACTACTGTTGTTAATCTCTCATTGTGTCCAATTTATGTATTAAACTTTTTAAAAGGTGTGTATGTATAGGAAAAAGCATAGTATATATACGGTTCAGTAGTATCTGCAGTTTCAGGCATCCACTGGGGGTCTTGGAACAATCTCCCTGACAAATAAGGGGGGATTACCATACAAATTACATGTGTGTGTGTGTGTGTGTGTGTGTGTGTGTATACATATGTTTTTCCCCCTTATACAGTAGCTTGCTTTTTTCACTCTCTTAGTAGTGTCTTTTGAAGACAAGAAGTTCCAGGTTTTAATGCAGTTTAACATTAGTGCTTTTATATCCTGTTTAAGAAATTCTCCCATGTTATCTTTAAGGAGCTTATTCTTTGATCTTTCACATTTAGAATTTCACATTAGAATTAATTTTTTAAATCAACTGTTAAGGCATAATCTACATATGATAAAATGAACACTTACAGAATGTGTATAGCTCAATGAGTTTTGACAAATTTATATATCTATGCAACCATCTCCCTAACCATTTTTAACACCCGAGAGAGCCACTTCAAGCCCACTAGCAATCAATCTCCCACTCCACTCAGCCCTAGACAACCCCTAATCTGATGACTATGATTATGGATTAGTTTTGCCTATTATAAAATCATACAGCATATATTCCTTTGTGTCAGGCTTTATTCACGCAGCATATTTTTGAGATTCATCCACAATACTGAGTTTATTATTAAGACATTCCTTTTATGGATGAATTATATTCCATTGCATAA